TTTCTACGCATAGGATGGTAGCTGATCCGTTTACTAAGCCCATTCCTAGAGATGTTTATCTTGCTCATGTTCGAGATCTAGGTATGCGTAGAATTTGATGTATATACTAATGGAACTTTGCCATTTGACATTGTATTTATGTTTAAGGATTTATATATCTAAAGATATTTCAGACATAGTTTATAGTTTATGATGGTCATTTTTGTTGTATTTGCATATTTACACACAAATATTAAGAAGTGTCACTAAGTAGGAGATTGGTTTACTCACATGAACAATCGCCTCAAATTCTTTGTGAAATGTTGAGATGAGACATGGCGAGCTTGGCGCTAGTGGGAGCTTGCCTCGTAAGGCTATTCAATGTCGCCTTGAAAGAGTCAAGATGAGATATATAGCCATTGAGATATCGATCATGATTGACCCAGAATCATGAATACTTGGAAGAGCTGGATAAGTACATAATCAGGCGCTAGATAGCGAGCTGATAGTAGCTTGATCCACATAGTAGTATTCGGTTTAACTATTGAAGAAAGAGTTAACTACTATGACACATACCACATTTGCTAGTACGACCATATAGGAAGCGAGTGATATTATATTTACAATCCCTATCACTCGCAATGTGAGTTCCTATTAACCTTATTATGGTTTCAAGTGTTACCCTTGAACCTTCGTCTATGTTCTTGAAGGGAAAAGCTAGCGTTCGCTACTTTAGTATGTTTTCCGATGGTGATGGAATAATTAGCCTTAAGGGACATGTTAGGAAAGCGGTTAGTTTGGAATAGATGGACATGAGTACGGAAGGGAAAAACTATTTGGTTTTACATCGACATATGTGTTTGCTGGCCAGCCACTATATCACTCAATGGAGTCTGAATATAGTGAACACATGATGTGAAATATCTAACATATGCTATAGGGATAAAATATGTTAAGATTGATGTAAAACATAAATAAGTTTGGGGAACAGCGAGACATGCTGAAATGCAAATATTTTCTTTGGGGTTG